ATATTGCATTATATAAAAATTTGAAAAAATAAAAAATAAATCATTTAATTAAAAAAATGTTTTGAAAAATTGTTAAAAAGAAATATATCCAAATACTTATTAATATAATCTTTTGAATAATTTTTTGATCTAGAGAATTGCACTTAAAGTTTTCATTCAAATATGAGAAATTTAATATTAAATAGGTTTGAAAGTTTTAAAATGAAAAATTAGAATGTTATATTAATCTACTACAGACTACTTTAAACTAAATATGGGAGAAAAATGTGTTTTCACCGCACGATAAATGTACACCGATGCATAAAGCACGTAATCGTATCACGCTTAGAATCTTTTCATCTTCTTCGCATATATATCCTAAGTAAGTACTTGTGTCACTGTCGTGACTAGCGCTTTCTCTAACAGTAGCGTATCTACCATAATTTTCGATATCGAAGAATCTAATTAGATCCAAGAATTTTTAAATTTTATCTATTTTATTTACAATGCATTACAATTTAATCAGAAATAAAATACAATAATATATTCTTATTCGATGATTTTTTATTATCTCAAAACGTTTTAAAATTTTTAAGTTTTTTTTTTATTTTGATGTTATTTTCAACATCATTAATATTGATTTATAAAATAATAAATTTTGACCGGAAAATCGATAGGAAATAGGAAGATATGTGAAATTGTAGAACGCCATCTTCAAAATATCGTAAATTAAACATAAATATAGAAACAGAGAATAAAGATAGAATAAAGGTAAGATAAAAATTGATTTTTAGTGCCATCTTTTGCGCATCAAAAATATTTTTCTATAGGCAAGTTATAGTAGAGTAGTAGAGTACTAACGAGATGGCGTTACTCTTCTTATCCTACATTTAAAGAAATATCTTATAGTTAAGAGTCAATCTTTTACAATATCGATTCATTAATTCTCATTTTAGCTTTTTCATTATATGTTTTTTTTTGTCTATATGTTTCATTTATAATACTTTGAAAATGATTTACTTTATAAATTCATACGCTCAAATGAATTATGCTGATTCTTAATTTATATAATTTATGTAATAATTTATGTTTTTATTTTAATCTAAATATCACTGAAAAAAATATTAAATTTGATATAAAAAATATACATGATTTTATATTATTGCTTTGAAGCACTAAATAAAAAGAAATCCTAAAGATAAATATAATACTAATATTGTGCATTTATTTTTTTATATTATAATAACACTATATTAATATCGTATAATAATGTTAATATTATGAAGTGAAAAATGTAAAGAAAATAAAAATGTTATTATGGAATACAAAATGTAGAAAAATATAACCATTTTATTCAATATTTGACAATTTAAATTGACAGTTCTCGGTTTGCCTTCTATTAAATACTTAGTTCCAGCTTAGAGTGAAACTGCCAATGCTCAGAGAGTAGAGAATTCCATAACACATTTTAATAACGCCATCTATTCGATGATATGACCTATATAACATTACAAAATAGTTGATAGATGGCGCAATCAAATATCGATAATTGTTTCCACTCTATCATAATATCATAATACATCAGTTAAGAGACATTACACGCATAACATCCCTCTCATCGGATAACTTTTAATCTCAAATAGGATCGGAATAAACATTTTTTGAATTATAAAAATTTATTAGAAAAATCTTTTTTTTATTTTACTACAAAAATCTTTGATAAATTCGTCTTTATATATTGTCTATCTCTTTTCATCTTTGTAAAAATATAAAATATATAACTTTGTAAATTTAAAATTATAATACTTATATTAAAAATATAATTAGGTTAAACAAATATTAATTTAAAATACATTTAAATTATTTTGCAAAAGACTTTTAAAAATGAATAATGAAGCATAAAATATATAGAATAAATAAAAATATGAGAAAAAAAATTTCTAATATTAAATAAAAAAAATCATTCACAAAAATATTACTAAGAAGTAATAAAATCAATCAAATAAATTTTTAAAAGTCAATATTATAATTTTGATGCATAAATATATTTATTCTACTATATTTAAAAAATATAGTAAACTTTTTAATAATTCATTTATTAAATCTTTCTCCTATTTAAAGAAATAGAAAAAATATTTTTTTAACCTGAAAATTTTCTTAATCGTATTCATTTAAAAATTTATTGCAAAAAATATATTGATATCCATAATAATTTTGTAGAAACTACTTGAAACAAATCATCATATATTAGATTAATTCATTTTTTCAACTATAATATAATAAAATAATATAATATTATGAAAAAAGAACATTATTATTAACATAATAATGTGTGAAAAAATAGATCTTAAAGTAATTAGTATTAAATATGAATATAAATATAAAATGAATTGACAAATTTTTTATATAAAATAATAAATAATAAAAATATTAAAATTTTTCATAGTATGTTTCATGAAAATAAAATGAAAATTACAGTTTTTAAAATATTTAATATGGATAAACAAGAAAAAATATTTTGATATAAAAAAATATTAAAAATTTTATATAATAGAATATTATAATTTAACATAAAATTTTCATATTATAAAGTATAAGAATATTTTTTAAAATATATATTTTTGAAAATAATTGAATTTTAATAAAATTTAAGAAATTAATTGACCTGTATAATTCATTTATATAAAGATTATTAGTCAATATAGCAGGTACATTATATGTACTTAAATCATTTAAAATTTCTTTTATAAAATTCTATATAAATTTAACCTATTTTATAATTTAAATTATGTAAAAATAAAATTGTTATATTTGTATAATTAAATTATTTTTCCATATTTCTATTATAAATTTAATTATTATTACGATATAATATCCGAAAATATAATACATATTTACTCTACATACTGTCTACAACATGAGTCAATACAAAGTATTTATCGATTTTCATGAAAAATTTGATATTATATTTTTCTAAATAAATAATAAAATATTTTTATCAAAAATATGTTACTATTTAATGTGATAATTTTATTGAATGATATTTATAATTAATTTATAAATAATATAAAAAAAACTATTTCGAATTCTCATTGTATTATAAGATATGATAATTCAAATATTACCAAAATAAATAATGTTTTAAAAATTGTTTTAATGTTTCTAAAATTTTTAATTATTGATATAATAAT